TTTTCATCCTCCTATAGCCTTAGTGTCATCTGCCCTACTTGAAGCCCCAGTCCACTCTTGTCCCTTGGCCGATGCCCTGATCAAGCTACATTCTGCCTTTCTCTCCTCAAAGGGACAGGGGAGTGTCAGATCCTGTCCTTGAGCCGTAGGAAAAAGTCTACATTCTCATTAGCACGGGCCTGTATCCACGTAAGTCTAGCAGTTAGGTCTAGGTTTCAGTTTCCCTTGAGTTACTGAGAAAATCAAATCTCTCAAGCTGCCACGAAAATCTAATATAGTTTTCTCAAAATTTCAGAGCAGGAGCTGACTTGTACTGTGCTCTAAACATGGAAAACAGGCATGAAACCATGTGACAGGTAACAATGAGAGTTCAAAGTTATGGGCATAAGACACACATTTAGCTGTTCTCTTGAGCACCTGAGGTAGATTTTGCGAGTCCTGAACTGCTTCATTAGCTAATGTGGAGAAGGCCCTGACTGTTCCCACATACACACCAAAATTAACCTACCGATGAACTCTGATATGGTAAATAGAAAATCAGAAGTTCCTGCTGGGAACACAAGCCAATTTTCTAGTCTTTAGTTCCTACAACATGGCAAGCCAGCACAAGGGACACACACCTGCTATATTATCTTACACAAAGGCTGCAGTGCCCACATCCTACCCACCAAATCCAGAAGCATCTGGCTAGCCCTGCTCTTAAAAAGGTGGCTCCCAAGGCTTGGACCAAGAAGCTCCATCATTTAATCACATAGTACAGAATAATAATGGTTATTATTCTTTGAATAATTGGTTTGAATGAGGGCTAGGTCCTTTTAGGCCTCACAATTACCATATATAGAAGGTGTTTTAGGTAGAGCTGGGGTCTCCTAGCAGGCACCAAAATGTGTGCTTTGATGTTTCCGAGTGTCAAATGAGGACCTCAGTTTCACAGAACTCACTTTTCCCCTTAAAAAGATATTTTTAATAACAAAACCTTGGAGAGTACAAAAAAAGTTACAGTAAACATTTAGCATGCAATGCTTCACTTTAGAACAGCAATGAAAGTATTCAAAATTTATATAGCTAAAGACAGTAATCATAAAACAGTTCTATATGTTTTTATACAGAAATTATTTAAATGGCATAGATCCACTAGCGACACACAACAAATAAAATGTTATATAGCCAATTTGGAGTGTTTTATATATATGTCATATGGTAGTAGCTTATAGTATAATCATGCCCCCCCATAAAAACTGATGCAAATGTATGATGACACACACTCAAAAATGACACATCTAACTAAAAATCATTTATAATTAATCATAAACATACTTAAGTGTACTTTTATAGTAATTAAAAGACACAATAGCAGTAGCTAAAACAATGATTATCCCAAGATAACCTTGATGCCTGCCTTGCTGAGAGCAAAATGGCCTTCTCTGTGTGTCCAAAGTTCTTGGTAGAATTGCAAACAGGTGCTGAAACAGAGCATGGCAGCCAGGATTCTTAGTAGAATGTCTTTTTTTTTTTTTAATCTCAAGTCTTATCACACTATTGGATGCTCACCACACACATATTTCAGTCCTGTCAGCCTTTAATTGGTTTGAAAACAGGCCTGGGTTTAAGTAGCAGACACTCCCTGTTCTTAGGGAATACAGAACAATCGTCTGATAACTGCAAACAAAAGTTTCTGAAAGCATCTTAAAGTACAGTTTTGAAAAGGGAGAGTTTGATAGGAGACTTGTACCTCTGAGATTCAGCATGATTTAGTAGATATTTCTGTAACAGAGCAAATGATCCTCAATTTAAGACCAAAAACCCCTACTAGAGAATAAAGTGATCTATGAAGTTCATAGCAGGAACTCAGCAAAACTTGTTATATAAATGTTTGTTTAATGGCTATAGTGATCACTGACAAATGTAATTATTTGAACTGCCAAAATACTAGTATTAATTTTTGCATTAGTATAACTTATCTACTCATCTTTCTCTTCTCTCATGAACTTTGGATCCTATCAATGTGCCAGGTATTACACCTGTAGGGTAACTGACATTATTTTAAATTTAGTTCTGTGACTATTAAAACAACTTTTGGGAAAAACTAATCAAATGTGGCATGTCCAGCAATACTCTTTATGAATTGTTAATATTCTTACATGAATAATCTAACTTTTTCTGCAGTTTCACTTCTTATTGTACGCCAATACTGATGCTTCAAGACAATCTTCTATATACTTGGTTATCGAGAATTGCTTCCCTGACAGGTGTGGTATCTGCAGGAGCACCTTGCAGCCACTGAACTACTCAGGAAAGAAGTAAATATAGAAACGTCTGGAGTTTTGCATTAAAATATTCTAAACCAACATGAAACAATTGCAGGATGTCTGAATTTCTAAATTGAAATGTAAACATTTTAGTGATGTAACCTGTCAAAATTAATTGAACTCCATAAGCTCAAGGTGAGTGACAAGTTCTTTTAAAGTAATTTATGGCAGTAAAAATCACATTCTGAGTTTATGAGAAATTGGTAAAGAGATTGGAATTAGTTTTGGGGAGGGGGAACACCTCTACTTACCAAAAAGTTCTTGTGATGTATTTAGAATATGCCAAACAGTTTTAATCAAGGTTGCTAAGAAGAAATGTAGGATTTATGCCTCTCCTACATATTTTTGTGCTTTCATCCCCTAATTCAACATAGGGAAAACCTGCCAAAAAAACTGATTTTCTGTTATAGATATTTTTGTTCATAAAATATCAAGCATAATTTTACTCTTTCTCTACAATTTCTCTCAGGAAGAGTTAATAGCTAAAAACCAACTGTCATGAAAAATTTCATATGCAATTAATATTTGAAATTCACATCATGTTGTAAGTTATAATATCAATGAAACTTTCATTGTTGTACTTGACGATTAGCCTACTAAAATACATTCAACTAATTTTTATATGCATAAGTAGTTCATTTCAACTGAATATAATCTAGAGGAAGCAACAGCAGAGATGCTACAGATTAATCTCAATAAAAAAGACATGGAAATAAAATATCAATGTGGATAATTATTTATGCCCAGTACATGCTAAATATTTTAATATCACTTCTGTAGAAACTTATCTAAATTTTGTTGAAAATGAAAAAAACAGTCAGTGTACAATGGCTAAGAATATCTGTTTATAAATCTAATCTTTCATTTTAAGCAACTTTAATGGATCAAGAGGTTAGATAGTGAGCCCTCAATCAAGATCATTCAACTAAATGATTATTGTGTGCCCACTGCCTGTCAGATTTGATGCCAAGCATTGCAAAATTACAAAATGAGTAAGATACTGTCCACTCTCAAGAACTTTATGGTTTACTAAGGGCAATTGATTATGGTACACTTTCCAATACAAATTTAAATAAATATGCTATTGAAAACAACAGACTGTAACAACTTTTGTCTTCTAATAGGGTTGCCATAGTTGACATCACTGTGAAACTAAGCTGCTAGAAAGCATATCTTCCCTGATAGAAATCAGTGATGGAAGATTAAAAAAAGAAGGAAAAAGAAAAGAAAAAAGGTCTTCCAAGTTGCCTAAGGGTTAGAGAAGTTCCTTTATTCAGCAAAGCAAGTTAATGAGGCTTTGGATTCTGGAATAGAAAGCTAATCTGCTCTAGGACAAAGGAAGGAATGGAGATTCTGGCATTGGAGGAGCCAGGTCTTGGGAAACAGAAAGATTTGCGAAGTGAGGTTGGTGCCAGGTGTCAGGTGGGAGGGGAGGCTGGAGCGCGGGAACTGGGGCCAGGGAACAAGTTCAGAGGCAGGGCAGCTGGAGGACTTTGGAACAGGATGCCTCATATTCCATTATAAATTGCTTGCTTTGCTCTAATGTAAATTGCCTTCATCTTTTAATTTTTTCTGCAGGCTGATATTCAACACATGTCAGATATCAGTTTTGGAGGGAGTAGTGTGGGGAGTGGATCTTTTCCATGTTGATTTATCCAAGCAAATTTACAACTCTGCAGATCTTTTTGTGTTGGATCCTTTATTTTGTTTGTTTGTTTGTTTTTGTGAGACTGGGGATGTGACCCGAGGCCTTGTGCATGCAAACCAAAAGCTCTACCATTGTATCATGTGTCTAGCCCCTCTTCAACGAGGATTTCTGGGGCAGTGTTTGAATGTTCATAAAATGTGTGAAGTAACTGAGATTAGGGAGTGCAGATCCAACAGAAAGCATGAGAACAAGCATTGTAAGAATTTGGAAAACATACATATCTCAGCCCAATTTTTTGTTGCTATAACAGAAAGCCACAGGCTAGGTAATTGTCAAAGCTGGGAGATCTAATATCAAGCCATTGGCATCTGGTGAGGGTCTTTTTATGGTATTCTAACATGCAGAGGCTATCCTGTGGTGGAATCTCAGAACCCCTCCTGTTCTTATAAAGCTGCTAATCTTTTTTATTTTCATTGCTTAACTGACTTTAACAGTATGACATAAAGCCCCTAGACTTCACATAATCATTATGCAAGATACATAGATGAATACTGCCTTCTTTTAAAAATACAAAATAAATAAGCAAAAACATGTCAAAATAGGCATTTCCATTAATAAATGAAAAAATTTTTAAAAAGGAACTTTTCCATGTCATGTGAAGAGGGGAAATTATCATTTTAAACAATATTCAAATTTATTAAATTTAAAAAGGAGTTATAAAATGTTTAACTTTCATCAGCTTCAATGTTTATGTTGCTGACAACTTTTGCATATTACTGAACTTTCAAATCTGCTTACACCTGCTGAATTGATTCTACTGTGACCTTATCTGAAATAATTGATTCTAAGATGTCAATTTCTTCTTGCAAATTTTTCTTTGATTTTTCTAACATTTCTCGTGTTTTGAATGGCTAATGAAAACATCACCCCTTGCTGTTTGCAGCTGCCATGCACTGTGGCCTGCCATGCCACCCTGCCTTGGAGCCAACTGAGTATGGATTGAAAAATTAAAAAACTGGAGGACTTCCGGGAGAACATGGCAAATAGATAGCAGCAGCTTCGGAGGCTCTCCAAGAAACCACACTTAAAGTCCAGCAATGCTGCCAGGCGAGAAATCCTAAGCAAGGGGAGATATACTTTGCCGACCCAGGAACGAACTAAACTAAGAGAAACCAACTGGAAACGCAATCCTGGTGATATAACAGGAACAGATAAGGTCTCAGCGGAAGCTAGACCCCGCGCCACTGGAAGCTGCGATTTCAATTTCCTGCAGCCACTGCTGCGTCCCAATCGGCACGGCAAGGAGAGAGGCGCAAAAGCTCTGAGAGTGGGAAGCGGTGAATGGAGTTGAGAGCAGGGCTGGCCGGGAGCCCTCCATCGACCTGCGGTGAGTGAGCAGATCGGGGACCCTTCCATAGAGTAGGAGGCTTCAGCAAAGGACATACTGGGACCGGGCGGATTACCCGGAACAGGATGCTGCAGTGACTTCAGTCATATATTCCCCTCTCAAGCAGGATTGGTGGGGAGTGCCTGGCCTGCGTGACGCCACTGACTAAGACCCAGTAGGCTAGCCCAAACCAGGGCTAGCTTTTAGATTAGAAATCTGAGCCTTATAAAGATTGGTAATGTTACTAAATCAACTGTACAATCTGCCAATTGTTGGGGGAAGGAGAGAACCAAGTTTCAAAATCATCTCTCCAAGGACAGGGTTTGGGAATGTTTATGGGAGAAATAAGCAAAGTAATTTAATGCAAAAGGAAAGATGAGTGGAGATGAAGTAATCAGTGGTCTGCAAATCCATAATCAAACTTCATGCTTTTTATGGGAAGCACTGAAGTGAAGCGCTGCCAGGCTCAGCAAGGTGCCTGCCCAACATGGAGCTGGACGGTCAACATGAAGGACAGCCTCTTTCAACGCTGACTTCTGTGTTCTTCTTCCAATCCTGAAAACCGAACTCCTCACTTTCCAGTGGCACCAACATTCCCCCAATCAGCTATCAAAACGTCAGTCTGCCTGCTCCTTTAACTCCACCACCTGTCAAACTGGATAAAAGCCTGCAGCTTTTTTTGTCTGCCCCGAGGTGATTTTGCATCCCTCCTGTGCCCCCAATAAAGGCCTTTTCTTTTTGCCTTGCTTTGCTTGTGCTTCTCTACCACGCCAAGGAAAAACCTGTCAAACATGTTCCAAAAACAGTGGTGTTAGCATGAGCCCAGGGTGGAGTTTTTGGCCACCTGATGTCATCGTGCAGACCCAAAAGAAATGCATTCATGGTTTTGACAAAAATAGGCTTCTAGTCCTTTAAAAGTAATAACCCAGGCACAGTTATCACTGTGAGCACACACGACAGATGCTATCTATAGCGTAGTTAGTGGGAGAATAACAATATGCTACTGGGCTGCATTACATCCAAAAAGAATGATTTCTTTTAAAAGTCCACCAGAAATGAAAAACTGAAAGCAAAGTGAAACTAGAGGGCTTATCAAGATTTTCCTTCGATTTCAGTAACTTTTCCAGAAACACACCCTGTCAAGACTGGAGCCAGCCTGAGTGACCGGGTCACCGCTGGTTTATCTATCCGCATGGGGCTTTCTACCACAGCTGGCCCTGAAGTTGCACTGGGTTTCAGCAGGCAAAGATACGGTGGGGAGGGGTAGAGTGAACAATCTGAGCAGATGCGAGAAAGCACTACATAAACATTCACAGGATTAAACTGACCTCCACTGCATCCCTTGCTAGACTCTGATCAGAAGCACAAGCAGAGTGTGCTTGCCAGTTTAATGGGTTCCTGTTTCTCATAGGTGGTTTTAAAAGGTAAAGACTGGAAAGTAGCAGAGGCCAAACTGTGGAAGATTTGAAAAGTACAGTGAAAAGTTTACACTTGCTTTTCTAGACCACAAAGGGCTGCTGCAGTTCTGAACGGCCAGCCATGTAACATGATAAAAGCTATACTTTCAGAAAGCCTGCCCATCCTGTTCTGAAACTGCATTTCTAACATGCTCCTAACCTTAGAGATTCTAAAACAGGGATGTTGGAGGGGTGTTGGAGCAGGCTCAGAAAGCTTCAGTTGAGACGGGGAGGACTCAGTTTAGCAAAGGGGCCAGTGAAGGAACTAGGGTGAAAAAGCAATCGAGGAATGCATGAGTCAGCTTTCCACACCTGAGAAAAACGATTTAATGGAGAGATGATTTATTTTGACTCAGTTGCAGAGGTTGCAGTCCATGGTCAAGCGGTTCCCTTTCTTTTGGGCCTGTGCTAAATCAGGAACATCATGGCGGAAGGATGTGGCAGAGCAATGCTGCTCACTTCCCGACAGCCAGAAGTGAGCAGAGCGAGAGGGGAGGGTCCCCAGAGGAGGAAACAGGGACCGGGCACGCTTTTTAATTCAAAACAATACTCGAGTGATACGTCTTCTTCAACCGGGCCCCACCTAAACAGCCCATTGAGTTGCCAACATGTTAATGGATGAATACATTGATGACACTAGTGTCTTCAGGATTCCATCTCCTCTCTAGGCCCTGCCAGTGAGTACTGCTATTTTGGGCATCAAGTCCTCAATACAAGAGTCTTAGTGGGGGCGGGGTAGGAGGGCAGACTTCATATTTAAACCATAGCAGAGAATCATGTCCCATTCCTCAATACAGGAAATATATGAGCAGGGGTACATTGTTTCCCTCCCTGGTGTTTCTTTTCTAGTGTTTTCTAATCATTTCTGAAGTGATGATTAGAGAAGTTGAGGCTGTGTGAGTCCAAAGAGGAGGGATCCCATCAGCTTGGCAATAGTCACCAGAATCTTGCTGGGCACTTTGGGCGTCCCTGGTGCAGATTTGATCCATGATTTCCCTTGCTAGAGTCTGGGCTTCCTACTCTGATTCCTTCCCTCCATGCCCAGCCCTAGATATCTGGCTCAGAGTCCAGTGAAAAACTGAGATCAGTTTTACTTGGTAAATATTTATTTAGTGCTGCTTTCTGTGTGCTGGGCATATAATCTCAAAGATTTTCCCCCCAGATCTGACCCTAATTCTAAATTGCTTCTGGATTCTGTTTAAGAATATTACTTTCTTTCTCAAAGTTCTGCTTCCTGTGTCCCTTTCCTGGCTCCTCTCATCCACTCCCAGGGCTCACGGTCAACCTCTTGCCAACCTCCAGCAGCCTAGATTTCCAGCCAGTGGCATGGCTGGGCTGCTTAGTCTTCTTCCTCAGGGCAGGACTGTGACTGAGGGGACTGGTGACAATGTCATGTGATGGAGAGTTACAGGACAGTGAGACCCGGGAACAGGCCATTGTCTCGTCAAATGGAAATCATTAGTGATTAGAGAAAATAACTTTAGTAAAAGGTGAAGGCAAAAGCCAAATTACAAGCAATGAATTAAATGTTAAACAGCAAATTTCAGGTTTTCGTTGAAGAAATTTGTCAAGGAAAAGATAAAATGGAAACTCAGGTAAGCAGCAGGATGAGGGGAAGCATTTGCATATACATTGGAGGAGTTAGCAGTTTGCAGAAAGAAAAATGTTCCAACAGAGATTCGAGACAAAGGAAGCCCTTTCTTGTTACTCCCTGCGACATTTACATTTTGCATGGACTTTTTCAGTCGGCACAAAGATTTTGTTTGGCTCGTACAGTCTTTTAAAAGCATTTTAAAGAATTACATCACTTCTTTGAAAAAATCAGAAATTTTGTTTTAGAAATCTTTAAAAATGATGAGATCTAGCAACTCTGGGTATACTTTCCTATGTATGGCTATAAACTTCTTCCAAAAGATGTTCTACCAGGGCCATTTCACTCACTTATCATATTTGTTTGCCTGATATTGTAAACTCTCCTTATTTTATGTAATTATATTTGTGCATGTATATGGCACACATGTGCACACATGTATATGACACCACCTATACAGGGATTGCAAGAGTAATCAGGTTAGCAGAGGAGACATTTGGGAGAAATGTGGCCTTCCTGAGCATCCTTCCAATTTTGCAGTATAATTTGGCTCCTTCCTTGCCTCCGTGTAAGATGGGAGATTACCCTCAGGGATGCCACAAATGATGGAGCCTGGGAGGAACCCAGAACAGCCCTGCCCTTCTTGAGGTAGACTACTAACAAGACATCAGTGAGCTACTCTAGCTGATTTTCAAGTTTCTTGGAACAACTGCTGTCTTGAGTTTTTCTGGCTTCTGTTTTCACAGGCTCTTCCAGAATTACCTGGAAACTTTAGTACACGAGTCCCCCAGGGAGTCGGGATCCATTGTCACCCAGTGGGTGTCACCCAGTGAGCATTGCTTATTGGGCATGATCAGTGATCCTAATACGTAGCCAGATTGACTAACAATACCACACTTGGTGGTATCCGGTCTTGCACGCAGCCTTTCAGATCCCCCTTGACAGGTCCCCCTTTGAGAGCTATGAACAGCACCCCAGTGGCCGGTCTGGCTGCTTTTTGCACAGAGCTCTTAACCTCTCATGATTGAATTTAATGATCTTGAAACTTTAACTCTCCACTGGCAACAGTGACCATTTGGCTCAGGTTCAATGAGGGATAATGTAACCTCTCTGACTGGAGCTACACCAAAGACTGAGGAAAAAGAAGGCAGAAGAACTGGATACCAAATGAAATGGCTGTGGGAGCCAAGAGGGAAATGTGGGTAGGGTGACCAGGTGTCCTAACTTGACTAAGCCTGTCCTAGATTTTACCTTTTTTGTGGAACCACTGTTGTACAGATTTCTTACAAGAAATTTAGGAGATTTAAAACACAGTATTTGTAAATTTGTTGGTTGGTTTAGGAGTAAGGGAAGAACTAAAAAAATCTATAGCAGTTAATCATCTTATTAGGGTTCCTCTCAATTTTATAGATTTTGTCAATTTTTAAAATCATCATTGACAATAGCTCTGTCAACAGAACTTTCTGAAATAATAGAAAAGTTCTGAGTTGGGCATAGCAGCACACACCGCAACCCCAGCACCCTGGGAGTCTGAGGCAGGAGAATTGTTAGCTTTAGCCCAACATGGGCAACTCAGCTGGACACTGTCAACAAAATAAAAATAAAAATAAAAATAAAAATGAGTTGGGGCTGTAGTTTAATGTAAAAGTCATAGGTTCAACCACTACGTTTTATTGCAAATAAAACAAAATAAAATAAAACAAAACAATTTTTAAAACTGTGATTCTAAGGCCGGGAGGTTAGCTCAGCAGCACAAGTGCCTGCCTGGCAAGCATGAGATTGTGAGTTCGATCCCTGGTACCAAAAAAAAAAAAAAAAAAAAAAAAAAAAAAAAGTGATACTAAATATAGTAACCATTAACCAATTGTCAGAATTAAGCACTTGAAATGTGACTAAGGATAAGAATATTTAATATTAATATTTAGTATTATTTTAAGTTAATCTAAGAGTAAATGACAATATCCATATGGGACAGCAACAAAGAAAATCTATAGAGTTGCCATTATTTGTTCTTTGGTGCTAATATTTCATCCTAAGTCCCAAGTCATTTGCATATATTTTGTTTCCTATCCTTGGATGTCCATGAGAATTTCTGCCGCACTCTTTCAATAATTCAGGTACTGGTGCTAGTATCATATGGTTTATTTCTTACAACTAAACAGATTTTTTTTTTGGAAAATATTGTTTCTGATTTGGGAGTAGAGAAAGAAAAGAAATAATAAAGTAAGATATAGAGGAAAGAAAAAATAAAAGTAAAGAAAATACCTTTATTAAAATTCTAGAAATGCTAGTAACATGTATTATGTTACAAGCCAGGTTAGAAGAGTCTTCTTCATTTGACAAAGAATCATTCTTTGTCATATGAGAAAGTTTTAGTCTTTGGCCACACTTAGAGAGAGAGAGAGAGGTATATGAACCTTGGCATGTAATTATTTTCAATAAATGATGAATGAATGGAGAGGGGATGAGGAAATGTTATATTATCCTGTAGCAGGTATACCGACCATTTTGTTCATGGATTTATTTTCAGCTAAACCATGTATATTTGTTTTCTGATTTAGCTTTTAATTATTTTTTACTTGTATTTGCATTTATTTTATGCTTAACTTATTCCCACACCATAAGTTTTGCTTCTTCAGTTTCTTCTGGGATATCTTTTTCTTCTGTGCAACTTCCTCCTCTGGTTTAGGAGTAATTTG